TATATTGGTAGGAAAATGGAAAATTCAAACATTCATAGAACTACAGCATATAAAGAATATATGATTCTATATGATTCTAGCTAGCTTGAAAGTAAACATTTGGTCTGATCACCTTTATTCTTGAACACAACAGGAACTCTCTGAGGCAGCATTCTTCTCATCTCCTTAACTAGTCTTCAGAGTTGTTCTTCAGGCTTCTTGAAGGACATTGAAAGCTCCTTTTTGGATGTTAAGTGCCTTTTGTTCTGTTTTCTGCTAAGATGATCCCACACTGCTTTAGTAATGTTGAGGCTCGGGCTCTGGGGAGGCCTTGTGTGTTTTTCTATCTACATATGTTTCGACATTGTGCTTGGGGTCATTGTAGGGCTGCTTGATTATGGCAAAAATGATAATCACGATTATTTTCACTGAAATTGAGATCTCGATTATTTGACGATATTTATTTAACCCTTTAATACCTACTATAGAACCAAGTCCACCAGAGCTTATATTATTTTTTTTTACATGTTGTAGTGCCATTTGTGGGAGCATTTCAAGTTGCTATACATCAATACAACTGTTATAGCCCATATTTTAATAATATGTATGCATTAATTAAGTCCATAGTAATTACATTAATTGCAAAAAAGTGCAATAAACTACAAAAAAATTGTTTTTGTTTTTTTTTTACATATATTTTAAGATTTTAGATTTAAAAATAGTTACACAAAACGGAGCGTGCTGCTCTGACCGGCTTTAAAGGGTTAACAATAACAATGTGTTGAATAATGACTTTAAAAAATAATATAAAATAGTGTGCAAATACTGATAACAGTGCAAATGTTTGCAATATAAGAAATAAATGAAAAACGTAAACATCTATGTTTAGTGAACTTTGCAGTGTTGCTCTGTGGTGCAGCTACGACACTGTAGCAAAGTTTACACACTATGTCTACTTGATCCACGTCTGACTCTGCGAACCCATAATGTTTCCACACCACTGAAGTTTTTTCACCTCTCTTTTCAACCAACGGCAGAGTGACTGCCGTTGGTTGAAAAGAGTGTGATTCACACACTTCTTGTGTGAATGGGTGAATGACTGAATGTAGTGTGAAGCGCTTTGGGTTCCTTAGGGACTAGAAAAGCGCTATACAAATCCAGGCCATTTACCATCTCCTCTCCAAATAACTTCTGCTTAGCTTTCTGAGCTTCCCTCGGGTCCTCTTAATTGTTGTGACGCGTGTTCGAAATGCAGAGAGGTGCGCTCGATTTGCCACACGGAGCAGTGCGAGAGTAAAGCACGAGGGAGGGGCTAATAATCGGCCCAGTCATTTTTAATGATCGTTGAAAACCCAGATCGTAGTCGTGATTAAAATTCGATTAATTGAGCAGCCCTAGGTCATTGTCATGCTGGAAAATGAAGCCGTAGGTATGGTATCGCACAATGGATCAAAATCTGATATAGTCTAAAATTGGTCCACAACATCTCTTGAGTTAGGTGCATTTTTAAATGCTTGAATGATTCATCGGTCAGTGTTGAGTAGCTTAACAAACAAAAAAAAGTTGAGTAGAGTGGTGGCTCAAGACTTTTGCACAGCACTGTATCCTTATTATTTTGCACTCCTGTTTGACAAGCTGCCAGTTCGTGGGAGGACTCAGTGGGTGGCAACAAGCGACTCCAAATAGCCTCTTTATCAGTGTTGACATTCATCATTCTTTAATATTTTTTCAAGGACTGATGAGTCAGAGCGTTTCAGGATGGGTTCTTTACATGATGGATGTTAGTAAATGAATTACTGCTAAAGGTTAAAGCTGCACTTGTGTGGCTGGTGTGCAGCACCAACAACGTTTTGATCCGTATTTAATGAATTTGACACTAAAAATCTTTGTTTTTTTTGTTTTTTTTTTACAGAAAGAGTAAATCCGAGGCTCCCAAAACTCCCACTACCCCGACCAGCCCCATGTCACCCAGCTTTAGTTCTCCTGGGGGTCCACTGTCCCCTCACCTGACCACTGGAGACTCCATCAGAGACAAGTGCATTGAGATGCTGGCAGCTGCCCTGCGCACAGATAGTGAGGCTTTAGACGTTATCATTGCTGCAGTTTTAATATTCACATTAAGACGCGCTGCAGACTGCCTGCTGACTTACATCAAATGTAATTTCTGAACTTCACAGATGATTACAAGGAATTTGGAGCTAACTGTGAGAGCATGGCAGCAGAGATTGAAGATCATATCCTTCAGAGTTGATAATTCACCACTATGCTTGCTTTGATTAATTAAACTGTAGTTCTTTCAGTGTTGAACCACAGGGAAAGCATCTCGTTTCAACATTATAGCTGTTATCAAGCATGCTACTCGGAGGAATTAGTTTGCCCTTGACAGCGTGATCGCACATATCTACCAGGAGATAAAAGCCACTGATATGAAGTATAAGAACCGAGTGAGGAGCCGCATCAGCAACTTGAAGGACCCGAAGAACCCAGGCCTTCGCAAAAATGTGCTCGCAGGAAGCATCGAGTTACGCCGCATCGCCACCATGTCTGCTGAGGTACAAGTTCACCTCTCCTCAGCAATGAGCAACACTTTGCACATTCCTGCCTTCTCTTTCCTCTTTCGTTATCACACATCATGTCGTCTTTATTAAGGAAATGGCCAGCGACGAGCTGAAACAGCTGAGGAACGTGCTCACCCAGGAGGCCATCAGGGAACACCAGATGGCTAAAACCGGTGGCACCACCACCGACCTGCTGCAGTGCGGCAAGTGCAAGAAGAAAAACTGCACCTATAACCAGGTACACGCATGTGTCAGAGCAAAGCAGATAACAGGACTAATAAGGCTCTAATGGTGGCATTAAGGCGAGTGAGCGTGTGAAACCGATGTGTCTCCAGAGTGAAGCAGGCTGTGATGTTTGTGCCTTTTTCACAGAGCGAGGTGGTGTTGTAATAGGGCAGTTATTTCTCCAGCTGTTTGCTTTTAGTTATCACATAATAATGAGACATTTTTTGCTGTTTCACACGATGTGACCGCACTGAGTCGGCTATTTACTGCTGGTGTTTGTGATGTTCTGAAAAGCCTGTAGAGTAACTGTTTCTCTTTTGAATGCCACAGAAAAACAAGAAAGCTGTGGCGCTGTATTAGAGCTGGGGCTTAAATCAGCTTCAGCGATGCTATTTGATAATTTGGGGAGTTATATGGGAACATAGTGGCTCAAATAAATATAACGAGATTGATGTATTTCAGTCACAGAGTGGGTTATATACACTGTACTAGTGAGGAAGGAGTGTTTCAGCTTCACTGTAGGTCATATAAACCGCTTCCTTTCAGTTTGGTGTTTTGTTTACAGTTAAACCTGCTGTGTGTGTGTCTGTGTGTGTGTGTTTTAGGTGCAGACACGCAGTGCTGATGAGCCAATGACCACATTTGTTCTGTGCAATGAGTGTGGCAACCGCTGGAAGGTAAGACTTTTCCTGAACCTGAACAGCTCTGCTCTGACACGATTTCATGCTCTGTTAAATAACTTTAAAGAGATTTTTTAATGCTTTTTATTGTTCTTCTCTAAATTTCAGTTCTGCTGATGCCATCAAAGGTCACCCCACATTTGTTTTCTGAGCAAACTGAGAAGCTTATTTTCTATAATGGGATGGGAATGGAGTTTATAAACTGTTGCAGCTAGTGATTTAAAGTGATGACGTTGTTCTTAAGATTTCCATTTTATCTTTTTTTTTTTTTTTTAGATTTATAAGCATGTGCTAATAATCAGAGTTTGCTTTATGCAGCTTTGAGAACTAAGAGTGTAAGACAGTTTGATGACTGAGTCATTAAATCAACCTAGCTGTAACTTAATAATAATCATGGTGCTGTCATGATGGAGAGAATCATAATCCATTTAATAAGCTGTGACATATTACGACTGCTCACTTTGTACATATCTAAAGCCAATAAAACTGCATCAATCAACGTTATGGTTGCTTTAAAAACTGTTAAGATGTTCTATCGTCTTCCTCTTCTGGTCCGCCCTGCCACCCTATTCATAGCATCTACTTGTGTCGGACCCACTGCATGTCCTCCTTCACTACATCAGCATCATTCAACATCCTTTGTCCAACATATCCACATGCCCAAACTCTCTCAGCCTCCATATCTGTCTCCATACATTATTGTATAAGATTATTATGTATGTGGCCATCATCCATCCATCCGTCCATCGTGTAAGGGAAAGACCCCACATAAATACAGAGAAAACCTCGACAATCAGATGATCCCCTTTGAGCGAGCACTTGGCGATAATGGGAAGGAAAAACTCCCCTTTAACAGGAAGAGACCTTCATCAGATCCAGGTTTAAGGAGGGGCAGCCATCTGCACTGACTGGTTGGGGGTGAAGGGAGAAAAACAGGACAAAAGACTTGCTGTGGAAGAGAGCAAGGGATTCATCCACCTCTTCACTGATTCATCTTCTGCCACTTATTCCTTTCAGGGTTGTGGGCGGGGGCCGGAGCCTGCCTGCCCCAGGGCTCGTGATTTATACATTAAATTATATTCATACGTATTACAAATGTATTAAGACTCATAATGTTGGGCAAAAAGTTGCAGTGCATGTGCAATTTGCTAATATTCAAGAGGGTTAAGATGTAACAGACAAATGATTCACCTTCGTTCATGAGCACGTCCAACATTTGAATGGTAGTGGTGCAATGGTAGTTTTCCTGTTGCACATCTAAAAGCAAACAGTAGATGGCAACAATTCACCAAAACACATTCAGCAGCAGTTCCCAGATTTCCATTGTTCTATTCAGAGGTTACTGACATCAGGTTAGAGGCTTGCAGGTTAGTGTCAGTTTGACAGGCTGCTAAAGCTGGAGCAAGTTGCTGCTGAGTTCTTAATGGGATCACATTAAAGTCATTCAGCAGCATTTCTGATCAAGAAACAAGCCTATGATGAATAATAAATAACAGGCTGCATCTGTGCCTGGAGCGATGACATCCCATCATTCCCCCATGAAGGTGTGTGTTGTTATTGTTGGAGATGCAGTCTGTATTTCAGCAGAAAAGAACCACGGGAACAGCTTTCTGGCTACCCTCGGCTGAGTATGGACCATCTGATTTTCCTGTGAGTTTAAACCTAATTCATTTACTTCTTCTGCATCAGTTGCACCATTAACGTCTCCTCTAATGTGCAGGCAGAGATGAGAAAGCATAACCACTCACCACTCATCTTTTTATTCTGTCACACTACACTTGTGTTGACGTTGCTTTGTGAGCTTAAAATCTACACCTAGCCATGAAATGTTACTTGGACATAATCCTGAAATGAAGCCTAAATTAAAAACACTCGTGAGGCATTATATTGTGTTCTGGAAATACTCTCACTGGCAAATACAACTAATAATCAGTGCAAAGCCCCCAATTTTTCTCTGTAATAATTTGTTAATGGATTCTGCGCCATCATTCCCATCTCTTCATTTAATGACAGCTGCTCAGCTCCGTGACCTCTGTGTCTCTGACAGCTGGTGTGGAAAAAACCCCAAACAGAAAACTGTTGAAATCATCTCTAAACTCTGTTCCAAACACCTAAATGCTTTGCAAGGAAGGGCTAATTGTTATCATGCAAATAGAAAAGCAAAAAAACAGCCTTTTGACTTAAGTGGATGCTTTTATCATTAGCAGTTCTAGACTTTTCTAAAGCCTTATAAGCTTTTCCTGCAGTAATAATACACAGCAGTTGTTTTATGTCAGTTTTGGTCACTACATTCATTGACCTTTAATTTACATCCACACAGAAAAGTCTTCACACTGAGTTAAAAGTGTTCAATTTTTAATCTAAATATTGAGTCCTTTGTGCTTTAGATGTGATACACTGAGCAGCAAACAGATGCTCTGAGCCATTTCTCAAAATAAAGGCAATTTTGACATTTTAAATTCACCTGATATGGATCATAAAATCCTGCAAAAATCATAAATTCCTTCAGATCGTCTGCATGTTTAATTTTCTTGCAGGCTTAATTTAAACGAATAACTGTTGGTATCCATCAGTCTTCCTATCGTTTTTCAACTGTTTATCGGGGTCCAAGCCATGGGGCTCTGCAGCAGCTGTGACTGAGCTCCTACCACATCTCTGAGGGTGAGCCCCAGAGGAAACTCAGTCCTGCTGCTAGAACCTCTGATCTTATTCTTTCGGTCACTGCCCACAGCTCAATACCATAGCTGAGTGTAGCAAACATAGATCGACCAGTAAATCGACAGCTTCACCTTTACGCTGAGCTTTCTATTCACCACAACGGAGCAGTGCATTGTCCGCCAGTTTGCCTTTCAGTCTCCCGCTCTGCTCTTACCCCGCTCACGAACAAGACCCTGAGATACTTGAACTCCTTCACTTGAGGCAGCAGCTCATCTCGGAGTGGGCACTTCACCGTTTTGTGTCTGGGAAACAATGGCCTTGCCTCTGTAAACACTCAATAGCCAAAACCCCATAATGAAAAACTGAATGTTTATGCAAATTCATTGCACAACTTGACAAGAGATTTAATCTGCTGTGATGCTGTTTGCTTTAATTATTCTTGAGATAAATCTAGAGTTTGATTGTGATACATGTATGCAATGCACCTGTTCACATAAAGTCCCACAAATCACACTGAATGACAGGCAGAACTCAAGAAATTAGGTTTCAGTAACTCTCTGCAGACCTCACAGAGCAAAGGTGGTGGCACAGTGGCCTTCACAAAGAAGATTGATCAGGACTTGAAGGGTTGAACAAAGCTCCCTGACCAAGAATCAGTTTAGAA